TTTTATTTATTTTTTCCATTTACTACCAGTCTATTTACTACTGCTTTAAAGCCACACTACTGAGCCTTGTGGAGCTCCTCTCAGTCTGCTCCTCACAGGTCACTTCAGCTGCTGGCTGCTGCCTGGCTCTCCGAGCTATTCCTTTTTCGGACAGATAAAGTTTTAACATGGGAAACACCCAGTGCCAAGTATTTCTGATGGTGCACGTTACGTCTACGCTTATGAGTAAACGCTTATGCTCATACAACAGCGTTGTGATGCAAACCTTGGGGTGAGGGATGGTTATTTAGTGATTAGTGAAAAGTAAGAACTGGGGCTGGGAACCTGCAATTGTATGGGCGAGAAGATCCTGGAAAGGAAGGTGGCCTCGCTTTCTCGACACAAATATTTAAGGTCGAAGGCGGGGTGCCTGCCGCCCCGCAAGTCCCGCGGCGAGACCCCCGCCGGGTCCCCCGCCGCCCCGCCCGGTCCGCGGCAGGGCCGGGGCGCGGAGAGCGCCGGGCGGAGCGGAGCAGGCGTGTCCCAGCCTCCCTCCTCCCATTTCCCCGTGCGTCAGGCCGGGAGGAGGAGGAGAATCACCTTTTTTTTTTTTTTTATTTTTTTTTTAAAGCTCTCTTAATTTCCTTTGCTGTCTCTTCATTCTTATACTATGAAACATAGTTAGAAGTTGCTCATTAATTCCTTTTTTTTATTTTTTTTTTAAAGCCTCCAACTACTTTAGCGCGGACTCGGCAGCAGATGGTGGACACAGCCCGAGGTTTCGGCGGGGAGAGCGAAGGGATGCGCCCAGCGCGCAGCGCCCGCCTGTAGCTCCGCACCCGCTCCGCTCCCCCCATGAGCCGCCCCGCGTCCCTGCTGCCGGCCGCCCGCTGCCGCAGCGCCCCGGCCAAGCGCCTCCAGCCCCTGCACGACGGCCCCGCCGAGGAAGCGCCGGCCGCCAAGTGCCCTCGGCTCGCCGAGTGCGGCCCCCCGGACTGCCTGAGCGCTCCCGGGTCGCCGTGTGCCCCCGCTTCTCCCGCCGGCGGCGGCGGCGCGGCGGGTCCCAGCCTGATCGCCTCGTACCTGCTGCTGCCGCTGGCCGAGCGGGAGCAGGTGTCCAGGGCGCTGAGCGTCAGCTCGGGCCGGGAGCTGCGCTGCAAGGTGAGCGGGAGCTGCGCGGGTGGGAGCGGGTCCTGCCGGCGCGCCCGACCACCGGCCCGGGCGCAGCCCTGCCGAACATCCATCCTCCCGCTGCTCCCCGGCCGGAGCGCCCGGCCAGCCCCCGGCGGCGTTTGCACGCCCTGCGAGTGAGCTGGGACTCCGACTTACCTCGGGGCGCCTTCCCCCCAAAGGCTGTGGGAATGGTGGTTTGGTTTAGTTTCCCCCCACAGCCTTTCAATTTACAACGAACAGGAAGGGTCTCGGTAGCCGCTTCTGCCGGTCTTGCCGAGCCCTGGCTTCCCTCCAGCTCCCTCGTCATTGTTTGGGGAGAGTTGCTACGCGAGCTGCAGCTTTCAACGCCCTTGAGAATGAATTCGGGTTTAATTTCCTCTATACAGGTGTTCCCTCTCAAACACTACCAGGACAAGATCCGACCTTACATTCAGCTGCCGTCACACAGAAACATCACCGGGGTTGTCGAAGTCATTCTCGGGGACACCAAGGCCTATGTGTTCTTTGAAAAGGACTTTGGGGACATGCACTCCTATGTGAGGAGCTGCAAGAGGTTGAGGGAAGAGGAGGCTGCCCGGCTGTTCAAACAGATTGTCTCTGCTGTAGCTCACTGCCACCAGTCAGCCATCGTACTTGGTGACCTCAAGCTCAGGAAATTTGTCTTCTCTAATGAAGAAAGGTAAGTGGCTGTCAGCAGCCAGCCCTGGGGTGAGTGGGGAGGGAGGAATGCCACATCCAGAGACACAAAAAGCGTCCCAGGGAGTGGAAACAGCTCCGTCAGCCGGGCATCACCTGCGAGCAATCCGAGTAGGTCCTCATCACGTGTGTGTAGTAGGTCACGGATCTAAGCGGTGCGCACTCCCTTTTAGTTAGATCTTGACTGATGAAAGGGAGGAAGCTCGCCGGGAGCTTCCTCTCATTCAGCAGAAGTTCACTGAAACCCGCTGCCAGACAAAGGGATGATAGTTCAGATGCTCGTTAGCGCCAGAAGATGTCATGTGTGCCACTCATTCAGTATCAAATGAATAAAAGGCAGAGAGGGAGAGGGGGGAAGCTGAGGTGTTGTGCCGGGAGGAGGAAGCAGCCTGGCTGGGGGAGCAGGAGATGTGAGGAGCTGGAGCTCTGGTCCCTCCTCGGGAGAGTTGCCTTGTGACCCACGGTGGAGCCCCAGCACTTGGAAAGGGTCTCCTTGCTGAACCACTCTGCTGATGAGAGTGATGCTGCTGAACCCTTTGAGGCTTTTACCCCACTTCCACTGCCGTGCTTCCCATGCCCCCTGTGCCCGTGGATTGTGGGCACACACAGGAGGGAAGGTGGGACATGGTTAAATAATGCTCTGGGAATCCTGCATCAAAGAAAATCACTTTCGTAAAACTTAGCCTAAAGCCTAGGTTCATAGAGAAGATGATAGAATCATAAAATCTAGTTGTTAAATTTAGATTAGGGAAATATTCAGTATTCCCCTGGAGTGCTGTGCTCTTGCGGTGCTTCATCACACGTGGCAGAGTCAGAAATACAGCAAAACTGATTATTGACTAGCTGCTTATCCCAAGCAATGTTAAAAAAACTAAGTAAAAGCTGTAATGGAGTTGTGCTTAATACAATAAAAATGTAAGGCGATATTACTGATGCAAAAGAAAAGGGATTTTGTTTGTTTTGTTAAACTGGGCTAATGATTCTTCAGGATATCTTTTTACGAATGTGATAAGAAAATTAACCAGCGCTGCCCCTCTGAAACAACCATATGTTGACACGTAAAGAAAGCTATTCCTTTGAAGGAAACTATTGCAGCTTTTCCCTCCCATAAGAAGATGAAACATTTGTTGAAATGTTACGTTGCACACAGTCTCGCTCATTTGGAAATAACGTGTTGCACAGGCGATGTCATGTGCATCACATTTGGCAAGAAGAGGGTTAAGCAATGGCAGGCAACGCGGGCTCCCGCACAGGTGCAGTTTCAGGGCTCCGCAGCCAATCCCGGGCCCACGGTTCTCGTTGAGTCATATTTTCCGTTTGCAGAACCAATGGGTATTTGCCGAGGTCAGGCTGAGGACAAGCTGAAGCCAACATATCTACACCCCAGCAGGCTGCCAGGCAGTGCAGAACCCTTCCAGGGCTGGCTGATGGCTTCCCTGCCAACAGGAGCTCCCCTTACCCTCCAAAATAGGAGGCTGGGGACCCATCTCTACCTGGAGATGGTGGGTGCAGTGATATGCTCCAAAAGGCAAAAACAATAAATTATGAACTAAAATGAAAAAAAAAAAAAAAGCTTCGGAAAGGCAATGATCCTCACCAGTGCAGAGGGGAGCTGGGGTTTGTGGTTTATGGAATCACACAGCTGGATGCTGTTTGCTCAAAGCCTGAACAGCACACAGTGGCTGTAAAGTGCCATGTCACCAATTAACCCCCTGCAGTGGCACTGCAACCTGCGTGGGTAGTGGTGACTTGGTGTTCCTCAAGAGTCCTCTGTGTTGTTTAAATCTCCAGTTAGTAAAAAAACATGAGCGTCACTGAATGCTGGCCCGGTGCACACAGCAGCCCTTCCATTACACATTCTCAGGCGTCTGGGCAGCTTCTCTGCTGCAAGCTGAGGTGTTTCCTTTCTCAGTGCCAATGCAAGAGAGAATGGGGCCATGGCAGGGGCTTGCTGTGCTTGCTCACAACTGCGTGTTGCTATTTCTCACCTGTGGCTTCCTCTCCTGCCCTCCCTAGGACTCAGCTGCGTCTAGAGAGCCTGGAAGACACACACATCATCAAAGGCGAAGACGATGCGCTCTCAGACAAGCACGGCTGCCCGGCGTACGTCAGTCCTGAGATCCTAAACACAACGGGGACTTACTCTGGAAAATCGGCCGATGTGTGGAGTTTGGGAGTGATGCTCTATACCCTGCTGGTGGGACGCTATCCCTTCCATGACTCGGACCCTAGCACTCTGTTTTCCAAAATCCGGCGTGGACAGTTCTGTATTCCTGACCACGTCTCCCCCAAAGCCCGCTGCCTCATCCGCAGCCTCCTGCGGCGGGAGCCTTCTGAAAGACTCACTGCTCCAGAGATCTTGCTTCACCCTTGGTTCGAGGCGGTCTTGGAGCCTGGATATACAGACCAAGAGACAAGAACTTCAGATCAGATTGTCCCAGAATATCATGGAGACTGTGATGATATTAGCTCCTTCTTCTGCTAACCCCGTAATATCAAAAACCTCAACGGTTCTTACCTCCGGCATCTCTGTAGGGTTTCATTTTTCCACGTCTGCAAACTCAAAAGCATCTTAAAAGTGCCAGTATGGTCAGAAAAGTGACCTTGTCTAAGTGAATGCCATCCTGGAGGTCTCCACTCCCTAAGTGTACTCGGAGTTCCATCCTCTTGCTCTGCTGGTTGGTCCCACCAGCCCTGGAGGACCTGTGCAGCCTTGTGAGAACTGTCGGGCTCTTCTGCCTCCCGCATCCTCCTCCGGTGTAACTGGTCGCATCTTGGCTGCAGAGTCTTACATCTGGCAAGGTGTGGGAGGGAAAGGGAGCTCCTTCTGCTTTCCTGCAGCGGCTGCAGAGGTGTGGAGCCCTGGCCACGATGTGTAGGGGCAGAGGGGCACATGGCGCATCTCTACCTGAACAAATCTGACAGAAATGATTAAAAGGGGAATCGACTCGGTGTGCCCCAGCAGCCAGCTGACAAAGCAGCTCTCTGACTGTAAGCCCACATTAATGAGGGAAGGAGGTCTTCACCCACCATGGTCAGCTCTCTGCTGCTTCTCCAGCTGATCCTGCTTTCAGAGGCGTGAAGCTCCTAGATCCACCCGTAAGACAAATCACTGCTGTGGCTCTTTCTGAAGCAGAAACCAGTGGATCTCCCAGCTGGATCCCTTCTGATTCAATTCACTGTCCAGGAAAGCATTTTAAATAGACTTAAGCCTCGTGTTACCACAGTGTAGCCTATATAACTTTATGCCCTCAGCAAGTCTAGTTAGCTCCGAGTGCCAAAATGTATCCGTTTACCAAACCGTAACACTATCGGCTGGGGCACCTTCCCCTGGGAAAGGATAAGGGGTTTCTTGTACAGTACCTGTAAACATGGCCATGTTTTTTAACCGCCTCAACTCTTAAAAATACATCACTTACTCTTTCACCCTCCACCCCCCAAAAAGTTAGTCTTAAGAGTAAAATCTCCGTATACCCTTAGTTGATTATTCAGGTATGTTGTTTGCCTCCAGCCTCCCCCACTTTTTTTTTTTCTTTTTTTTTTTAATTTTAAAATTTTTGTTTTGTTTTTATTTTGCATGATTATTCATAGTCTTTCCAATATGTGTGAATAATGAATATATCTGAATCATTAGCTTCCTGGGTTGGGGGTAGGTAAAGTTTAGCCCTGCCTAAAATTTCTGCTTCGTATCACATGTGTCCAGTGGTTTATGCAGAGATGTCCATTCACCTTAGGCAGGAGTGCGGCTTCTGAAATGGCCGTGAGGTGGGTGATGCACGTTCCCAGCACCACCCAGTCTGAGTGTAGTCATTTTAAGGGTTAACCCTGGCAAGCTGCAGTCCCACCACGCGTTGCAAGAATACCATGTATACCTCATGGACTGTGTACTTTGTACATACCTTACTGTTTGGGGGTTTGTTTTCTTGTTTTGTTGTACTTTGTCCTAATAAGAGGTGTCAAAGAGCAGTTTAATGTGAATTATTGTTGGCAATACTAACTTGACAGAATCATGAGCATTAAGAGCAGAGCGCTCCAGCTCTCCGTTGCACTAAACCTCTCATGATTGCTTGACATTTGTATCTGTGATACAGTTTAACCCTTCTATGAAAAACAGTACATTTGTATATATTGGTAGAAAATTCTGCCAGAAAAGCTAAAAACACTATGTCCAATTTGTACATATGTATATGTCTGTGGAAACCTGGATGATAAAGTCTGACTTGTAGAAAGTTTTAATAAACTTGGTTTCATAATGTTTGTCCCCAATTCTTGTGGTGTCTCAAGAGAAATGCAGCTCAGTGTGTCTGGTTTAATCTGAAAAAATGGGGTTTGGTATCAAGCTCCTCTATGGTCTATATATGCACTCCATCATGTCTTAGCCTGAACTCCCTCAACTCAGCCTGGGATTGAATCCCCATGGAGAGTAGGAACAGGGGATGGATCCTGCCTCTTGTGAGGTGGAAAGGGCTTGGGATGTCCCCAGGATTATGTGAAATGGGATAAACAAGGGGGAGAGGAGTTACAGCTGTGCCTCTGAATTTTAGAAACCTTCTTGCCTTTCAGCCCATGCATTTGTTTCCCTCTGCCCTGTGAGCAGAAGATGCTGTGGCACAGCAGGGCTGTCATCCTGCACCTGTGTGCCTGGCAATGTGATGCTTCAGCCAGTGGAAAATCCGAGCTCAGATGTCTAGAAGTGAGCAGCCAGAAGGAGAAGCAGTAACCAAGAGCATTGGTGTTACAGGGAGCTAGTGCTCGTGGGCAGAGGCTTGACCCTGCTGCTGGGAGGCAGCATGGTGCTCTCATTAAAACGAAGGGAAAGATTATTAGAGCTGCTTTTCTTTGTGGTGAGAAGAGAGAAGTATAAATAGCTGCAGTATCAAGGTTAGAGAATGCACTTTCCTGAAAGAGATCAAGCCACCCTTGCAATCCACCCGGAGCGGTGAGATCATCGCTCACAAGTGGAAAGGAGGAGGAAGAGAGTCTTGATTTTTATTTATACTTTGCCTCATGTTTAACTTTGTCCTTTTGCTTGAAATCTGTTTAGCGGAACAACTACTTCTAGGCAGCTCCTTGAGCAGGAGCAACTTTAAAAACAGTTTTCCTTTTAGAAGGGGAGTGGAAAGTGAAAAGGAGAGAATAGGGACCTGGTCAGTGATAAAGTGCACTGGCTTTCATGAGTTACCTTGACTCCCACTCTGAGAAGCCAGTGATCTGTGCAGTAAGCATATTTTCTTAGCACTTGCTGACTGAATGTCAGACACCAAAATATCTCAAGTTACTTTACTGATGTCATTCTTGCAAGACTTGTAAAAGTATGTGTGCTGCATAGCCTGGCTGATTAAATTACCCCCTGCCCTACCATGCTTTCAGGCTTGGACAGAAGCCCTGATGCATCCTTTCAAAACAGCTGCAGGAGGTTCGTATTTTAGTGAAACCTCAAAAACTTTCAAAACACTTTTCTCCCCCTTGCAGTTAAGTCACCCTTAGTAGGTGAATGTGTAGGTCATCCCGTGACTTTGTTTCACATGAGCTGTGCTGCAGAGCAATTAAAATTAATGCCAAATTGTAGTAACCTCTGCAAACAGCCTCTCTATTGCTTTAGGGATTATAATGCAACATCCGTTTGTACAGCAGAATAAATTGCTATTGCTTCGTTACTCCATCGTTTGTATTATTGTATACAAAGTTTCAGAACGTGTTGAAAGAACCAGCATATTAAGTGATTAAACTTTGATGGTGGGTGTGAGAACTTTGATTTATGCAATGCACACATTTCTTTTTGAGAGAGTCATAGTTTGTCTATTTTTAAATGGTCCTTTTGGCTGAGGACCACATGAATCTCTTAGGTATTTTGCAGACCTGGTCACCATTTTCACCTTGAAATTGCCCTCTCTGAAAGATGCTGTGAGACTTCAGTCCTCTGTTGTTGCTAAAAACACAGGAAAAGTTGAGGTTTTTCACAATATCCTGAACTCCGTCCTAAGCCAGCATCGAACCACCTTCCCAGTCAGGACAGATCTTACATCCTAAGCAAGTATTTTTATCAACTCTCAATACTTCAGCTGCATTTTAGGCACCAGTTCAATAATTTTCTTTTGAAGTAGCACAGCAGAATTTGTAAAGCAGCTTCCTCTGAAAGTGCCAGGTAAAACAGCCAGCTCAGCAAGCTCAGGTTTAAGGTCAACATCTCTGCCAAGGAGGTGATACTTGCTGAGGTTATTTGCAGTCAGAAAATACTGATTGAGGTTCAGCTCTATCCATGCTAAACAGTGCTCTGATTTTAGTAAAGACCTTCAAGTTAGGCAAAGACACTTCTGCATCAATGCAGTATTTATGAAAGCAAAGGGGTGAAAGAACAGGGTTATTTTATAGATGTACAAGAGGAAAATTCATTGCCCTTGGCTGGATCACAATGCCAATGCAATACTCTCCTCTAGCTCTCCTTTAATGCACTGAGGGCAGGCCTGACAGATAACTTGAGAAATACTTATTATTCCAGCAGTGCTGAGTGCACTCTGTCAAGCAATTCTCAATAGATTATCTCTTTATAGAAAACCAAATTTCTTTCCCTACTTTTTTCATGCTGCTGCATTCTGTCAGAGAAAAAATCCTAACATTCAGCCTTATGGCAATGCACAGATTTAGCAGCACAAATACTTCTTACAAAGATATTTTTCTAGTGAGCATTGAGAAGAATAACTTGACATATAACCACGGTCTGAATTAATCCCTTGCAAAAAATGGCTTTGTTAAATGCAATGTCACAGAAGTATTGTTGATAAAAGTACCGTGAAATTTGCAACAGTTCTTGCCATGATTCCTCCATAACTTGCAAAATCCTTTTCTCCAAGTGAAATCCAGAGTTCAGATTTCAGACAGGATCAACTTTTGTTGCAGCAAAATGAGAAATCCTTCAGGATATGAGTTCACAGCATCATCTTTTTCTTCTTTTTGTGAAGCCAGCTATTTAGAAAATGCCTTAAAGAAAACTCATTAGTTTTCATTGCTCTGCATGTATTTATTTACAGTATTTAACCAGCTAAACAAGCTAATGTGCAGCACTTCATTTCCTAATTTGGCTTTGAAACTGGAGCAGCTGAAGTATCAATTACATTCTGTCAAATGCAAACATTAACATAACTGTATGAAGCAATCATGTTTCTAACAACAGCAAGCACTGCCCAGAGGACCAAAATAAATAAAATTCATAGAGCAAGAGGTAACGCTTTTCTTTAAGGCAGGATTAGGGCTGTGGAGCGCTTCCCTGTGCGGGGCCGTTTGTCTGCAGGGCTGTGGAGCAGCTCCAGCACTGAGGTGGGGGTGATTAATAAGGCACTTGCTCACCAAGGGCAAGGTCTCATCACGGCGGGTGTGGATTTCTGCATGCAACTCCCACTGTTATTAATGGTTAATTAATGTGCAATTTGCAGAAAGAGATGAAACTGGGACCTCGGCGGTGTGTTGTGAGCACACACACAGGCTTATCATTCGAAGAAATATCAGGGTGACACGAAGGGTGGATGACAGAAAATAAGTGTGGCGTGAATCAGCTGCCCTGTGTTTATGATACGGCGCTGTTGTGGGAAAACATTCACCTCCATCAACTACCGGCTCCTGCCAACAACAAAAGTTGAGTTTGATAAATT